GGGAATTTCTACACATTTTTTATCTTTTTTTTATTCTGATTTCCACTTTTTCATAGATTTATTGTAAAGGACATAACTAATTGTCTGCTTTTTGGTTCCCTTTGAAGCCTAGGGTATACGACCCCCCGTTGCGACAGTCGCATCACAAACTTGACCCTGAATATAAGTCTGTAAAAGTCAGTAAATGGGTGAAAAAGGTCGTTAAGGAAAGTATTACACATATTATTCCTATGCGGCAGGCTCACATACTCTCCCGCTAATTTTTTTCTTCAACTAAAATGTCAAAAAAAGAGTAAATTAATAATGCCTATCTCATAAGTAGAAATAACTTTTTGAGTAGAAATAACTCGTCAGCAGAAATAACTTATTGGTGTAAGCCGCATCCTAATGCTTGTGGCAAAGAATCGTCCAGCTTCCTTGATTTTTTTATCACTTCAAGTCGGCCATAATAAAGAGCTATAAAGAGCTAAAATTCCCTGATCTGTGGCCATGCAAATGACTGGAAGTGTCGAAATCGTATCTTACGTATGTCCGTATATTCTACAGCTGACCCTACTCGTTTTTGGAGCATGACTTTTCAAACATTCGATGAAAAATTCTGGAGTGGTAGTAATTTGGTCGAAACCAACAAATGATGTGATAGTTCAATCATGGTTACATCGTGGTAAGCATGATCATCTTTTCACGGCCACTCAGTTCAATCGGTCATACAAAATCATGAAACAAGCAAGTAACTAGCAGAAAACCATAACTGTTTCGTGCTTGTTTCATTCTAAACCAAACTATGAGTTGAACAGCAGGTTAACACCATTGTTCCCTTATCAGATAGAGCAATGAAAACAGCACTTCATTTCATGAGACGTAGACGTGAAACCACCACATCATAGTTTAAAATGAAAAAGTACCCCCGCCCTTTTCGTTTCAAACAATGATGTGTTGGTTTTGCAAGTTAAGAAGAGTGAGGGAGATCATTCTGCAACTTACTATGAGAAAGCTTACTTGTTTACAGCTTAGATAAGGTTATAGGAAGGTGCAAGGCTGGAGACCAAACTGCAAATTTGGTAAAGTGCAATGATTGCCGACAAGCATGAGAATGGTTGGAGTTTCGATCTTCTCCAATGACTTTGCTTTGCAAGATAGCATTTCGAGGTTTCCTATTGGTTAGTTCGTGGTTTCGTTGGGAAAATGATGTGAAGCTGCTGGTTAGCTGGTGTCATGAAAACACAGTCAACATGATGGTTTCGACCAAATTACTACCACTCCTGACTGTTTTACTTTTCTGCAACCTTTCGTTATCAAAAGGATAATAAACGAATTTGACCGGCCATTTCTACTTCTTCCAGTGTGACTACACACTTTGGTAAAATAGCTATAAGAACTTTACACACCTCTGACCAAAATCATCCATCACCCAAACTAGTAGACCCAGTAAAATCTGAGGGCAACTTTGCTAGTGTAATGTTATAAAATAAGAGCATACACAATCTGCCAATCTGCTCCGACACTGCTCCAAACATCCTCTAATCATTTTTCTTCAGCAGTGAACGAAATGATACAAAACTTCGTTACACAGACTGACGATTCGGCAAAGTCTCCTTTTTACAATCAAATTTGAAAGCACATAGTAACCTTTCCAACCAAACGCCTTGTCGACTACAGGTAAAAACCCATTCTATGAAACAGCGGTTAAAACCAGAACCCAAGGTCAAACTGGTACTCACATCTACATATGATTAGACTACTGCTATGCTAAATCTTAGAATTTCTAAGGACTGCGTGAAACTGAAAAATATCCGGCTGACATTTCAAAATCGCCCATTCGTTCTCGTTATCATCCATTCGTTTGAGTATTTCTCGAATTCAATCATCAATAGATCCATACATAGGCAAGCTTTTCAAAATGCAAATGAAACTCCTCCTCGTTGTATTGATTACATCAACAAAGGCCTTTGTAGATCTGAACAGCACGAGACAGCTTGCCAGGTTTGTGATTAGTGAGCACTTTGGTAACAAATCAACAAGAATTTTGCAGAGGTCTGGACAAATACCATGCTCTTTCCCGATGTCACCCGCCAGGTAATACCCACCCTAAGTTGTGCTTCAATATGGCCCTCTGAATATCTACCAGCATAAATAGGAGGCCCTGTAGAGCATAATGAGAGTTGTTTTTGTAATTAGCATGTAAGTAACTTCCATAGACTAAGTTTCAGAGAATTCTAAAGTTTCGAAATTCCAGGATATCCAGCTAAAACTCATTTTTGAAAGTGCTTAACGTTGTCTCAAAGATGAGTCACCCTATGATTTTTGCACAATTTTTTTTTTGCACTGCAGGGACAAAGCACTACTCCTTCTCAGACGATTATTGCGAGCACCCGCGGCTACTAACGGTGTACTTCGGCGGTGCGCGGGCGTCAAATTCTTGCACTGATCATCCGCGGCCCTAGATTTATTTGCTTGGCAACCCGCTGCCCAATGTTATCATTACGGAAAGGCCGCGGGCCTCAAATATTTTATAGGAACACCCGCGGCCCAAGAAAAACCAACAGGAAGCCTGGGCCCTTACAGGACTCCCTGCATATGTAGTTTTCGGGCAAGCCCCGGCCCTCTAGGCCACGACCCGACAGAACGACTCTGGCGAGCCCCTGGCCTTGCTGGATGCCGCAATTCTTACACGCTGTAAAAGGAAACGTTACTTGCGTGAGATACGGCGCAGTGATAGAGCTACCCTCCACATTAAATTGTCAGGACAAGCAAAGTTGTGATCGTCGAAAGTGTCTCGGATGACACAACTGGAGCGCTCGATTGTGCTTATACAGTCGGAGCGTCAACAAGGAGAGACGTGAACGTTCAAAATTCTTCGTAATTCCAGTGCGTATCGAGCCACCCGCGGGTGCGAATCGCGTACTTATCGGGCGCTTGTCGGGCCACCCGATGGTATTATTCGGACGCTCCTATCGGGTCACCCGCGGGCACTGTCGGACGCCTATCGGGCACTTACCGGCGCGCCCTCGGGATGGGCGTGGCGTCGCTCGTGGGTGGTCGGCGGGTGCTCGCCATAATTGTCTGAGTTGTTGCCTCAAGTCATAACTCAACTCAAAAAACGCCAAATTTTATCAGTTTTGTTTTATTTTTGCTGCACAAAAAGTACGCCTATAGCTAGTCAAAAGCTTAGGCTTTAGTGACTATGAAATAAAAAGAAGACAATAACATATACAGTCTGTCCAAAAGTTTGTGCCGTTTTTCAGACCTATCACAAAACCACTCACAATCAGAATAGTGATAGATAAACGCTGTGAAAAAAGTTTAATGCAGAATTTCTTTTTTTTTTCTAGCATTAAAGTCCCTGTTGCAAATCCTGTGGTAATGGCTAAATATCGTAGTTCTCGAACTTATAAGTTCTACTTATCCGATTTAGCTATTTTCATAAATTTGATTTCCGACTTATAATTTAGATTTCGAAGAGCTTTGACAACGGTCTAGAGCAAACGAAATTCGAAACAATACATATCTTTTGGCACCTACAGCTGCTTTTTTCAAATCACCAGAATCATTTTTCTGACGCTACCAATTCCCACATATGGGCATCCTAGAGCTGATAGGATGCATAGGATGCAGCTTTTCTAGAATATTTTGAAGCTTTGCTTACATGGACGCAAAACTCTGTCGAAATTTCTGCCATAGTCATTCAAAAATGAAGATAAGTCTCCCTTCCCAGAATCCCTTTCTCTAAGTCTATTTTGAAACAAGCCTTACGATATGGTACCTAAAGATTCGCAAAGGCTACTCAGGCAAAATCACTGGCGATCAAATATTAACGTTCGATATAGTTTTGGGACGCGCTACACAAAGTGTCCCAAAGAATGTGCCTACTGTCTACTGCCTATTTGATCGTTAATAATTCTCTTACTTCGTTATCTAGCGCCTTCCTTGAAGTACCATTTTGTAAAGCTAACTTTAACTTTGATTAATTGCATGAAGCAATCCAACCTTTCTTAGTTACAATAGGAATACAGTAGAACTTTGAGGAGGGTCTTGATTCATTTGAGGCATATGTCACTTTTAGAAAAATCAAAGAAGTTGAGAACTAACACCGAGCTAATCAGAGTAGCTGATTTCAGATGCGAAACTGACACTTCAGCGTGACGCTTCTTTTTTATGCCAAATATTAGGCTGTCTCATAATTTTTTACCGTTTTTACTTAAACATCATCATTTCTTGAGAACTGGGTTGCCTACAAAAAATCCAAATACATGGTCGCACTTCTGTATGTATGAGCTTTATGATCACATGCGTGGGAGGAGCTAGGACGTCTAGGGGCGGAGTTTCCCATTTTGCATCATTCATTTTTTCTTTATTTCTAGCCATGGAAAAAATTCGAAAAGTGTGCAGTCGAATGTGCGATGTGTCAAGCATGTGCTAGAATAAATGGAGAATTAAATACTTTGAAGCGGAGATATGATTTTTGACAGAAAAGTTTGTTTTGAACTACTATCAGATTTTAGCTCAAAACTTCCAGTGGGATATGATTTGGGCAGAATTTTGATAGCCATTTTGTAGAGCTTGCTTTGCCCTGTCGAATGATTATTCAAGCCACGCGGTTGCAGTAAAAACGGTAAAAAAATTATGAGACAACCTAATATATGTATGTGACCACTTTTTTGAAGTTGGTTCAAAATTTAACTGCACCATTTGAGAAGCTTTGAAAACTCGTAGGTCGTCGTTTAGTGGAATCTGCATGCTGTACACATAATCTTTCAGATTTTCAAAGAATTTCTTTCCGAATAACCTATCTCACGCCATATGCTGCAAGTACCTACTGTAACCCTAGAGGAGAGATCGGTATTTGCTCGCAAGCTCTACATATGTACCTTAACGGGGCTATTAACGATCAAACAGCAGGCACAGTTTTGGGACACTCTGTTCAATAGTGGTAACCTTAAGCAGAATTTAGGTCTGTTTGCGCATGAGATTCTGCCTGTTAGTCACTGAAATTATTATAGCAAGTCCTGCACGCTGCGAGAGTGGATGGACATTATTCGACAAAACCGATGCCTGCTATAAGGTATGTATGACTGCTTTGGAACGAAATGGACGGCGGGGTAGAAAGTATACGGTTGAAATGCATTTGTGCTTATATTAAGACATCACGTTGCGAAAAGCTCTAACAAGAATAGCTAAGCTGTTCAGAATAGCTTCGATGCCACTTCCGTTGACGAAAGCTTGTAATTAAAAATGACGAGCTTAGCGTAGTGTTAAGTGATGTCAAAGTACAAATGTAAATAACTCATTTTGATAGTGAAAATTTTTAGCATTACATATGCTCCACATACAAACCTACCCTCTACTGTGACCGTTTCAAATGCACCTTCCTTAGAACACTTTGCTGCCATACATGCTTTGACAAAGCAAACCTTTTATATTTTTCAGGTATCCGCATTGTCATTCTGTCTCAAATTTTTACTATTGAAAGCACCGTCCACCTAAAATGGGATCGATGAGCTTTTGATGGCTAATATTGGGAGGTCCCTGACTTTATACTTGCACAACAATGCGCTGCCAAAAGTTGCTCCCGAAGCGAGAAAATTGATTTAGATGACGGATTCGCCACGTTGGTTCCCCTTCTTTGAGTAAGCGTGATGTTCGTCGCGCCCATCCGAGCGCATTTAACCAATCACCGCTCCAGAGAAATCATCGTGTGATTCTGCGGAACGGGGTTTATGGGGTTTCCGGGGATTTTCGACTTGATATTCGTAATCAGGGACATGAGAAGGTCCCGGAACGACAAAAACGCGGAAGATGAGGGTTTGGGTGGACGGCGCCTTTGAATGCCCTATCTCATGAGAACAAGGTATCAGTTGAAATTATATTTGAATGCAAACTTTAGACCAAACTAATCTACAAAGTTTGAAACTTACCTCAAAAACAAACTTTTGAGAAAGTGTGCGCACGTGAGCTCCCCAGGAATTTTCTATGTGCGTTTTTCGGATTCTTCTCTCACCAAACTCATCAAACGCGTGCTCTAATGGCTAAGAGCCGCTATGCACTAAGTTGAGAAGGCAGTACTAAGGAAAAAAGGCCTTCTTGTTGGGTGATATCGAATCAGAGAAGTTGCTGAGAAAAGCTAATTTGCTCAGTCATCTCTGCACTAAAGCTGTTTCTTACAAGGGGAGGATACTTGGTCAAAGTGGCGTTCCTATAAGAAATGTATACTGTCTCGTGGAACTGAAACGCTAATTCCGAATTTGCTTTTGTTACCTGCGAAACGCTTCTGGCAGGAAAGTTAGGAGAATTTTTTATGTAAAAATTATAACGCGCAGCTGCATCATACTCATTAGAACTATAATATGTGAGCTGAAATGGGGCCATAATTACTGCCAAGGCACTTTATGCAATTAATAAGTTCAGTCTAATGAACTTATACTCTTGGTATAATAGAATTGACAGGTTTCTCCTCTGAGCATGAGCTGTACCTTTTTCTAGTTGAAACTCGCCTTCCTTTTTAAGCCAGAATTTTTGAAGCTGTACAATGTCCAGTAAAGCCAAAAAGAGTCTCCAAGCACATCACAACTGTGAGGAAAAAAAAACTGAACCTAGAGCAAACTTACGTAAGAAGCGTGACGAATTGGAGATGGCAGAATTACAGCATTATTTTGTTATTATTGCAGTATATGATTCTTAGGTGAAGGAGGTTTTGTCACGCTCTTCGTGTAGTAGGTTTCATAAAATAAATTTCCTTTTCTCAATTTCACAGAGCTTGTGCACATACCAAATGTGATTCTTCCTGTTCTTCCAAGCAATTCTTTTTCTCAACAGCAATGAAAAAATAAAAAAAAATATTTAGTATTTATTTTCCACCTCTTTAATGAACGTGCCAATTCTATGACAATTTTCTCTGTAGCCTAAAATGATCCCTAGCGGTAACACATTATGTTATATCATAGCTTCAGACAAGTCAATTGCTTACCGCATTGTGATGATTATGATTTATGGTTTGCGCGAATAGAAAGATCATATGTAGCACTTTACTGCTGTTGTAACCCGCCATGCAACCAGGAAGTCGGGAAATAAAAGGTAGTCTCAAACGTGGACGGCGCGTATGTAATTAGCGCCAGCTCTATTGCTCGAAGATGCTTAAACGGTGCATTCTTACCAGTCAAGCAAAAAGAACCAACATTTTTCTTCGGTTAGCCCAAAGTACCTTTTTTTGAGTCCTTTCCACCGACTTTGGCATCATATTTGCCGCCTTTCACCGGCCCTGAAAGTGTGCACTTACTTCTCTCACCTTAACTAACTTAATAACTTTGCAGACCTTCTTCGGGGAGATGTTTGAAGCTGCGGAAAATACGTGTATCACTGTTGGCGGACATTTAACTTCAATCCACAGCTTTGAAGAAAATACGTTTATAGCCGGTAAAGCTATTTTGGAATTGAACTTTAGGCCACAAAGATTTTTTTGTGTTTTAGAGCTCGCAAAAATGGATAGACCCGCATCTTATCAAGATCAAACATGGATAGGACTACATGTTGAAACAAACAGCAGGAACTGGACGTGGACTGACGGCACAAAAGTTGATTTTGAAATCTGGGGTCCGGATTGTCCGACTCGTGGACAGGGAGACTGTGCACGGGTATGAAATTTGCATATGTAAGAGGTCTATTGGCTGACGCGACTATTCTTTCCAAAACGAAAAATTTCTTTTGATTCGCCAAAAATAAGATAAATGCTTTTGACCATGTTTAAAGGCAGTGTCCAAGGCAGTGTTCTCCTGCGGTTGTCAATATGTCGCGCGTAAAGTATGATTTTTCAAAGCGAAGTGTTCTTCCTTGGATTGAAAATGGTGTCGAACCGTAAGAATTAGGGCATACCGAGCTCCTAGCGTTTTTTCCAAATTCTTAAATGTTGTCATAGCGCAAATGTAAGATTTGAAATTTATTTGATCTACGCAACGCACATGGCTGGCATAAGCTATCGTTCATGTTGGCTGCGCCCCAAATGGCCCTAGCGCAGGAGGGAAATCGGAGGTGGGAGGGGCCGTTTACACCGTGACGTTACTCTCCCAGGCTTTAGGAGCGACCTTCTCGGTTCCGATTTTATGTCATGTGTTTCGCAGTTGGCTGGTGGTGATGTTAGGGTGATTAGCGGAAGCTAGAAGATTGCTCCTGAAGCTGGGAGAGTGACGCCACTATCTGAACAGCCCCGCCCACCTGCAATTCCCTTCCTCCATTAGTTTTTCGCTGTTTTCGCGTTCTCCAGTGTTGATTTTCGGAATGAGCATGGCGAATAGTCCCGAGTAAGTAGTACAAAATCTCGAAATCAGCTTTTTGTTTGGACACTGCCTTTAAGTTAGCATTTTTGATACTTTATATAACATTTGACTGGGATAGCTTTGTCAAAAGGTGGGAAGTGTGATAAAGTGCAATAACAAATTTTTCAAGCGTCTGCAACATGTTTTTGCATAATATTTCTAGAATTCTTCGCTTGTGCGAAGTTGTTTCATTCTTCATATTAGCTGATTATTTCAGGAATCAAGACGTTTTGAAACTTGACTATCACTTTCTACTAGTTTCGCGAGGAAAATTAGCGTTTACCGCCTCAAAATATCAAATTTTGAACGACTGACAATCAAGAAAACTTTGTCTGCGAAGAAGCCTTCACGAATTTTGAGGCAAAAAGTGCGTGTTGGAAGGGAAAAGAAGCTGCATGAAATAAACCGCGAACGACTCGCCGGCCTGTTCTACGAAGTTTGGTTCGACCGAATTTAGAACTTGATAGCATCAATAATAGATAAATAAAAAATTTAATTAGGCTAAGCTTCTCAAAAAAACGCATCGTTACACTTTTTTAATTGCTGTTGAGACTCTTTCAAAAGCCTGAAAACTTTTTTTCAAAAAATAATTTTAGTGATTAGTAGGGAAACCAGTTCGGAAAATTGATTGCTGTAGAGGAAAGTGTGTAGAATAGTTTGAAATTAGGCTCACTGCACGTATGTTGAATTAGATCGACAGTCCCAGATCGCTTATAAGTTTATTTTCGCGGATCATCCGGACCAAAAAAGTTGAAAGCTAGCAATTTCGCATCCTCAATTGAGCAGCATCCGTCAAATGAGAACTTCTGAGAAGGTTTAAAATCATTCGGTGCAGGTTTCCAAGTTTTTTTAGGGCTTATGTATTCAAACTAAAATAACTCTTCTTTTATGCACAGATTTGTAAAGTTTATGGTGCTTAGCATTACTTCTGCTGGATATAGTTTCTTAAGAAAGTTTCTAGTAAGCATTAATAACGTGCAGAAAGAGCAAATTAGATAGCGTTTGTCTTCAAGTCTTCAACTAATCAGCTCTGGTATTCAAAGAAATGTTCAATTATCCGCAGTTACATGCAATACTTAAGAATCATATTCCCTTGAGCAAATAAAGTACTAATTTATTTAGATATCAGTGGCGGTCTGAGCCCCCCCCCCCGAGATTGGGTCGCGAGTTTATTAAAGTTACTTATATGGGTTACTAGATGGCAAACCCGGCTCCGCCCGGGAGTAGACTATGACACGCTCCCTGCCCCGAAGTATATGTGTGCCAAGTTTGGTCCAAATCGGTTCAGAAATAAAAATTTCTATTCCGCACATACCAGTGGCGTACCGAGGGGGGGGGGGGGGGCGGGGGGGGGCGCGCGCCCCCCCCCCCGAGAATGGGTCGCCAAATTTTTGAAAGTTACTTATATGGGTTATAAAAATGTGCAAGTGACTTGTTTATACTTGTAAATAATTAAAATAATTTTTAAAAATTTTTAAAAATTCAAATTAGCTTTGTAAAAAAAATTTTTTCGGGGGCGTGGCTGACGCCACGCCCCCTTTTTCCAGATTTTAGGGGTTGGAGACCCGCGAAAATTTTGAAAAGCACCCCTAAAATTTTTTCGGAGTGCGTGGCTAACGCCACGCACCGTTATTTGAAAAAAATTTTTATCGCGCCCCCCCCCCCCCCCCGAGCGGAAATCCTGGGTACGCCACTGGCACATACGTACAGACAGACATACATACAGACAGACATTCAGCTTTATATATAAGATAAAAATGCGCAAGTGACTTGCTTATAGTAAATGATTAAAATAACTTTTAAAATTTTTTAAAAATTCAATTTAGCCCTGTAAAAAGTTTTTTTTGAATGCGTAACTGCCGCCACGCCCCCTTTTTCTGCAATTTTGGGGTCAGCGGCCCGAAAAAAATTTTGGAAACCATCCCATAAAAATTTTTTCGGAGTGCGTGGCTGAAGCCACACACTTTAACCAAAAAAGAAAGTTTTTTGTCCCCCTCCCCTGGTCCGCAAACCTGGGACCGCCACTGCTAGGTACTTAAGATAGATGGCCCGTCTTCACATGGCTTGCATGCCCCCAACACAAAAATTTCCAACGATTCCTCTCACTTTAGGCATCCACGATCTTTTTAGTTGTGGTGGAGGCTGCGTCCCACGAGTTCCAAGTGCGAAAATATCCAGATGATGATGTCCGAAAACATCGTGTCCAACCGATTTCTCGGCCGGTAAATCCGTTCCACGAACACCTCTGCCCATCTCGTTGGTGGTTTTCCTCTGGGACGTCTCGCTTCACCAGGAATCCACTCTGATGTTCTTAATGTTCACCTGTCGTCTGTTCTTCATGGTGCGACCAACCTCTCGATGTTTGCTTTCGAAACGTATTCACGAAGAGGGACATTCTCCTCCTATCCATACCGCAGAGTCCGACAAGATTTTGTTTGTGTCGGGTCATCTTTAAAAGACTGCCTTCGAGCGCTTTGTGGGTGGGTGGTTATTAGAGCTTTCGACTGGCACATTGTCGGCTCAATTTTCAGCTGCGTAACAGAGCGCCGGGAGAACGGTTGAGCCAAACAGGGGCTCGAAGCTCCGGGTCCGTCAGTTGGTCGGTGACTTCCTTCGAAGACCCGAAAGCGGCCCAGGCTGCTCTTCTCCTCCTGTTAAGTTTTCCTCCTAAGCCGCTCTCCATCTCCACTCATCGAATGTCCAAAATACACGTAAGAAGACGTCTCCATGATAGAGGTTCCTTCCAATTCTATTTCCCCATCTTTGCAAAGGGCGCTCTTTATAATGCGTCTTCTTCCGATTTACTCGCAGTCCGATCTGAAATCCTGCTTCGTATAGTTCCTTCAGCATCGTCTCTGATTTAGTAATACTGCTCGAAAAGAAAACCATGTTATTTACACGAATTCCCGACAAGAATCTCCCATCAACTCCTATGTCTCTTTCGCCGCAGTCCAGTGACTTCATCACCCACGGCAAGGCGCGGTGGACGGCTTCGGCAAGATTGTGTCGTCTTGTCGGAGCCCCTGCCCAATTGGGATAGACAGGAAGCGATGGAACAGCTTTTGTACAATCCATGTAGCAATCGCTAATGTTCTCACGTAAGCTGGGTCCACCTCTTGATCGATTAGCTCTGACAAGATGCCGTTAGCTTCAACGCTGTCGAGGGCCTTCTCGTAGTCGACGAACGTTACGATGAGAGGCAGTCGTTTTCGGCAGACTTCTATTGCCCTCGAAACCGTCTGGATACAGCTGAATCCTTTGCAGAATCCAGCTTGTTTTTGGCGTTGGGTTTCAACCAGCGTCCTAGATATGCGAGCAAGAATAATCTTCATAAAAAGCTTGTACAGCACACTCAGCAGGCATATTGGACCGTGGTTCCAAAAATCCTCCCGTTTATCTTTTAAGAAGAGAAGGACGGCTCTTGATGTTATCCACTAATCGGAAATCCTTCCTTCTGAAGGTAAGATGTTAGATACGACACGTGGATCTCATTTGGACGTTACCCTTTGGCTCGCAGTAATTTGACGAAAAAGTGGTGTTTAGTCCTGAAGCCATAGACGTCTTCTCATGGTCTGCTCAGATAATATCTGCTTAGATAATCGCCGGGGCAGGCGGCCATGCGATTTATAGGCGGGCAGGCACCGGAAAAATAGTTCGCTGATTTCTTGCGGTCCGCTTGCAGATATTTGGAAGAATTTTAGCGGAATTTTAGACGAATGCTTGGAGAACAATCGCGGTTTTCTTATGGATTAGCTGCGGCGCAGTGGCCGCATTCTCGCGGACTTTCCGCAAGAATATGCAAGATTTTCGGGGGCCGCATGGTCCTTTGTGGAGTACCGCGCAGCCCCCAGGTACCTTCCGCTGAGAGAAAGTACCTCAAACTTGGGTAATTAAACCATCGATGACACCTCTGCTATGTACTCAGATAATCGCCGGGGGCAGGCGGCCATGCCATTTTTGGGCAAGCGGGCACCGGAAAAATAGTTCGCTGATTTCTTGCGGTCCGCTTGCAGATATTTGAAAGAATTTTAGCGAAATTTTAAGCGAATGCTTGAAGAACTTTCCTTGCAGATTAGCTGCGGCGCAGTGGCCGCATTCTCGCGGACTTTCCGCTAGAATATGCAAAATTTTCGAGGCCGCACGGTCCATGGAGGACCGCGCAGCCCTCAGGTACTTTCCGCTGGGAGAAAGTACCTCAAACTTGAGTAATTAAACCATCGATGACTCCTCTGCCATGTAGAGTTTTACTTTTGCTCGGCGTACGCCCAAAACTGGTTAGAAACCGTCCGAGCGCCACTTGAAAATTTGACCAGCGCCCGCTG